AAGGCCTTTGCACGTAAAAAAGCGTTAACCGTAACTTTAATTCCGTAGTCGTAAAATCTGCTGTCTATTCTTAATACCCTGATGTACGCATGCGCATTACGGAACTCTTAATTAAAAAAGCTGAGGTTAGAATATCATATATGCGCGATATATACGACGTCGTTTCGACATCAATCGACGAGTCATTTCTGACTGGGTGGTATGTTAATTGTTATATATATAAAACGTTAAAAAAATATATTAGTTTAAGTAAGTTTTAACCAATTTTCTAAATGAACGTACGTATATAATTTTATATTTTATAGATCATGAATGAAGAAACTGTTTTCATAACATATACATTTTTGCAACTAAGCAATATGTATATGATTGTGAAAAAAAGACAAAAAAATAAACGATGGAGGAATAGGAGGTGGCTTGTAAGACCCATAAATACACGTCGAATGCTACAAGGCGATTTTCAACATCTATTCCAGGAGATGAAAATGGATCCAGATCTATTTTTTCGTTACACAAGGATGGATGTGAATATATTCGCCGACTTATTAGGAATGCTTTCTCCATACCTGACAAAGAAAAGTCCGAAAGCTTTATCACCTGAGCAACGTCTCGCAATTACTCTCAGGTAACTTTTTCTTTGCAAGCATAGTGCGAATAAATAATTAATTAAGATAAAGAATGGATAATAAATTTTTCCCAATGTTCAAAAATAACTTTTAAAGAATTTTTTCTAATAAAACTTGTCTATTCCAGATATCTAGCTACAGGTGACCAGATGCTGTCAATAGCATTAGCTTATCGTGTTGGCGAATCAACAGCACACGCTGTTGTAAAAGAAACATGTGCTGCGATAGTTACTGCATTGTCACCTATTTATTTACGTACTCCAAATGAAGAAGAATGGAAAGAAATTTGTGCAGGATACCTACAACACTGGAATTTCCCTAATTGTGTTGGAGCGATAGACGGGAAGCATGTACAAATCCAGGCACCGCCAAATTCTGGCAGTTTATATTATAATTATAAGAAAACTTTTAGCATAGTACTGCTAGCTGCATGTGATTATAATTATAAATTTACTCTGATAGATGTCGGTTCATATGGTAGCGAATCTGACAGTGGAATTTTTAATGAATCTAATCTGTCAGCAGCATTTCGTGATAACACTTTGCATTTGCCAAAGGGTACTGCAAGATTGCCAGGTTCGGAATTACAAACGCCATGTTTTTTTGTCGCGGACGATGCTTTTGCTCTCACAGAACACATGATGAAACCATACTCAAAGAGACATCTTAGCGATAAAGAACTAAATTTCAACTATCGACTTTCTCGCGCTAGACGTACTATTGAAAACGCTTTTGGTATTTTAGCCGCTCGGTGGAGAATTTTTCGAAGGCCAATTGCCATTAACCCTTGTTATGCTGATAACATTGTTGTAAGTGCTCTTTGTCTCCACAATTTCTTGAAAGTAGTTAACGATGAGCAACCTGCATCAAAGAGAATGTATTGTCCACCAAATTTCGTCGATTGCGAAGATACAAACGGCAATGTAACACCAGGAGCTTGGAGATCTGTCGAAAGAACTCAAATGCAAGCTATTAGAAGAAGACCTCCATGCCGTGCGGCACAAAAAGCATTTCAACAAAGAGACGCTTTGGCACAATATTTCTTGACTCCAGAGGGCGAAGTACCATGGCAGTATGAATATATCCAAAGAGGACGATATGCTGCTTGATGCATTCAGAGATATTATTTATGAAATAATCATCAAATGATTCCTATAGTGTTTTTCATTTATTATTTTTAACAGAAAGCCTTGTAAATACACGTTATTTAAGTACTTAATCATATTACAGTAATATTACATAAAGTAATGGAAATTAGTTTACTATACGGAAAAAACAAATAAAACTTATTGTTACAATGAAGTCTCAGAAAGTTTCTCTCTCTATTTTTAAATACCCTTCCT